TTACTTTCCTGTTTGCATCCAAGACACTCTGTCCCTTCTTTGACCCAGGCATTGTTGAACATGAACCAATTCCTAAAAATTCCAGATATTGCTTGTTCAAAGAGGACTTGACCGGCACCAGGAAAGATGAACGGTGACTATCCAAACTGTTACCAGCTATCTGAATCGGCCAGAATCTGTTTCTACCGTCAGAAACTGTCAGCCACGACTCGTAAACCGTTAATGCCCAGCTCTTGCTACGCTCGGGCTCACGCTGTTTCTTGAAGTTTTTCAGAAACGCTTAGTAATAACGGACGCAAAAACCAAAACACCGATTGGCCGCTTGAGAATTCTTTATTGTAACACCAACATATAAAAAATATTTCTACTAAGATTTCTGACGGTTTATTGCTGACTTCTTTCTGAACAGCGACCGATGAGACGATGACTGTCGTATTGATGCCTCCGCGAAAATTGGGGAAGTTGGTTTTGAGCAAACAACAATGAATTGATCGTTCAATCTTCAACTACATTGACAGCGGCATCAGAAGCTGGTATTAATTTCACTTTGTAGCGGCAGGTGATTGCCCAGAATTTTAGCCACAGCAATCATCATTCAACATTGGATGTTGACCCCAATATTTCACTCGATTTGTTTAGCTGAAGGCTTCCAGTCGATCATCCACGCCGTTTGTCACGCCGTCATGTTTTTTCATTCACGTTCCCTAGTGGAACATAGGGTTACAAGCTATTGGCTTGAAGCTTCTGTAGCTTTGTTTATTTTTTAAAAAGGATGTGGTTGCTAGCCTTTCCTCTTTACCAGCATTATATATGGCAGCGAGGTAGAGGAGTTCGTCGGCCGGGGATCGAACCCCGGACCATGTGCATGGTTGGCGAGCGTCCTAACCGCTACAGGGCCGACGCACAAATAAACGGCATAAACCCTGTAAAACTGGCTCGTCTTCAAAAAGACGACGAATTGTCGAAAACAACTCTACAAATGTCCGAGAATCCCTGAGGTATGGGAAGCGGCACTATGTGACATTTCCACGAGTACCCCTCGCTCTATCCTGCCTGAAAGTTATTAACGTAACGTATTCAATACGCTGCATTGCTTATCCCACCCAGGTGTTTGAACTAGCGCCAAGCCCATTACTAGTCGGTTTTGTTGGTATGGTATTAATATAATGTAAAGGAATGGGCTAACACGTTCTTATCTTGCCAAAGGTGCAAAGTAGTAAGACACACCCAAAGCCTTCTTGGCACCTTTCTTATCCCTGATGCTCGTTTCGAGCACGTTCATGTAGATTTGGTTAGAACTTTTCCAGAATCTCATGGATATACCTGTATCTTAATGTGCATCAACCGTTTCACACGGTGGCCTGAAGCAGTAAGCCTCAATGATACATCCGCTGAAACAGACGCACGCGTCTTTGTTGGACGATGTATGGCAAATTTTGAATGCCCATCCTCCATAACGACTGTTCGCAGGCGACAATTCGAAAGCGGCTTATTCTTCATCCTGACTCAAATCACAGGTTGTATGCATTTTAGGACAACGACCTACCGTCCTCAAGCTGATGGTGTGTTAGAACGGCTACATTGACAGCTGAAGGCTGGGTTATCAGCTACAAACAATGCACATTGGACTGAATCGCTACCGTTAGTTCCCCCGAGGATACGAAACGCCTTGTGAACTGATGCCGTTTACACTGCTGCCGAGCTATTAAATAGCACAACACTACAACCGCCAGGTGATATTGCTTCCCTTCTAGCTTCCCGCCAGAAGTAGATCACACCTCAGATATCAGAAGGCTTACAAACGCAATGCGTTCAGTTAAACCCGCTCCCCTTCGACCACAGTCCATAGACACCCATTTTAAGAAACTTATTCACACTTATTTGTTCGTCGTATCTCTGTACGTAGCCCTCTGGAGCCCCATGTGGTATACCCCATAAAGCCACTAAACGTGTGAATAATTTTTTTACACTAGACGAAATAGGCCGCGAAGACTCTGTGCGTATCGGTCGTCCACTTGAAGGCAATCCCATGAGCCTTGAACTAGCCATTCGCACTGGCAGGCAGAGACAGCGGAATCTTTTGTTGAGGTCTCAAAGAAAACGCGTTCTGGACGAACCGTGAGACTCCCATAACATCTTTCACACTTATCTCACATAGCAAGATGATGCGACCCATCCAGTTTATCGCGCTTGTGGTATATTTTTTCTCAGGTACATCAGTTTTTCCATTGCAGTACATGTCACAAGCACTAAAAAATTGTATTTTTTCCGACTGTCTACTCTCGCAATATGTTTATGTATGATAGATGCATATTATTATCAAAACGTTATTTTTGCCACCTTTTCGCTTCATCATTTTTATTTTCTTCTCCAGGTGCGACAAGTACAGGACAAGAAGCAGACGGAGCACGAGATCTAATGGACGAACATCAACGAATACATTTGCAGACACCAAATTATAATAGGTAGGCGACCAGTAGGCATAACATCAAGCCAATGGGAAGAGTTTTACCGATGGGGACACCGCTGGGGTTTTACTGTCGGCGGGTTTTTTCGTAGTGTCCTCATGACCGCACTAGGGGGGAGCAAGTTGAGGTGATAGATAACTGCCCAGAATTTTAGCCACAGCAATCACCATTCAACATTGGATGCTGATCCCAATATTTCACTCGATTTGTTTAGCTGAAGGCCTCCAGTCAAGCATCCACGCCGTTTGTCACGCCGTCGTGTTACGTTCGCTCGTTCGTTCGTGCACGATCCCCAGCTAGTTGAGCAATCATCTCACACTCCAATTTGGTCCTGAAATATAACTCGTAATTTAGACAATCAATTCGGTGTTTTGCTTTGCCTTCGGTCTACACAGAACGAACACTAGAGAAATTGAGAGTATTAGATCTTGGGTTAGTATACTTCGCACTATCCGTGAACGTCAACACCCTCACTCTTCAAACTTATTTATCGTTAACATGGAATCGATCAACCTCTCACAGGTTGCGACTGCTGAGAATGTGCGCCTGGGCCGTCCCATACTCGGTGTCAAATATTAGGATTCTGGTGTGGACTTCTTTGGTGATTCGAGATCTCTGCGTTATGATTTCTAAAAAAGCTGGGGATCGTGCACGAACGAACGAGCGAACGTAACACGACGGCGTGACAAACGGCGTGGATGCTTGACTGGAAGCCTTCAGCTAAACAAATCGAGTGAAATATTGGGGTCAACATCCAATGTTGAATGATGATTGCTGTGGCTAAAATTCTAGGGAATTTCTCTAGAATTTTGGCGATAAAGAAATCACACACCAGTGAATTTTGGGCTGTTGCTTCCTCTGCAACACGAACTGATATAATTCACAAACCTCTACCAACCTTGTGTACGAATTATAAGGATGAACGCATTATTATCTTATGTACAGTCTGGAATAAAATTTCTCTTCACGAATTCGTTTTTCCGTCTTTTCGCAAAGTTTGTGAAATAAGATCAACTTAAACACTTTTAACTCTGAATGAATTTTCTGTGTTATTGGTAGATAAATATCCACGGTACGGTGCTTCTTGGTCTGCGAACTCACTTTGTCATCGGTATCACTTAGGAAATCCAAACCAAGTTAATTCATCGGTCCTGGGCTCATGGAAGAAAGGAAGGGCAGACGCAGGTTTATCAACTTAAAAGTATAGACAGTGGAGACATATACTCCTCTGGGAGAGAGAAATCTGCGTAATTTGAAGATAGATGAAACTTGGAATTGATAGTGTTCTCTGAGCTCCTTGGTTTAATTGCAGAGCTTTCATCGTCCGCAATTAAACCAAGGAGCTCAGAGAACACTATCAATTCCAAATCATCCACCTGAGTTACAAATCTTTTCTATTATAGATGAAACTTTTCAGCAAGACATTCAACCTTCCTGCTATGGAAGGAAAAATAAGCATAAGGACATGTAATATGGGCGCCATGATTTTGGCTACCTAGAAAGCCTGCTAAAGTTGTAGAAAGGAAACGAGAGAAGGTATGATACAGAAGTGCTAGGAATCCGTGAAAGCAGGTTGAATGGAAGCTGATTCCTGATAGTGTAGCTGTCATTGTCACCAATAGCATCGAAAGGTCTCACACAATAATATCCAATTTCTTCAGTATGATGACTGATAGAATCACCTCAAAAGCAAGAAGAGTTGCAATTATCCAATGCTTTCTTTCTCACATACACAAATAATACAGATCCATCGGGGAAGAGGGAGAATTTCTACAGACAACTTAGAACAGTAATGGACAAGAATTTAGTATCGAGGTCAGCACAACAGTATTCGTATCAAAATCCTTTACTAAACTGGAAAGTCTTTTTGTGTTGAAAGTGAATTACACTTGAGAAACAATTGTAGCTATAGCACCGTCTTTGGGCGCCTTTAAGCGAAGGCTGCACAACCATGCGGCGAAACAAGGACTACATCCAAATGGCCTGTCCCCTTAAAATCGCATACACCATTTAGGGGTAGTCAATTAAAATCGTCGTTTTACTTCTTTACAATCTCTCCCGTCTTACTCTCCTGACAACTTATTAATATTTTAATTATTAATACTATTACTACTACCGATATATATTATTCTTCAAACTTAATCAGCTGACTGTTGTTACGCTTTCCTATTTCCGTTTCTGTCTCTTAGTCTGAATAACTTAACTAATTATATCTATTATTATTATTATTATCTCTTTTCTCTTGTCGACGATACCGAAGGACAAACTGGCGAAAGGATCAACTCCAATCACAGTAGTAACAGTCTTAACACACTTCAAACTACAAACCACATGTAATTAATCTCAGCACTACTCCTTTTGGAGTTAACCAAAGCTACGACAGTCGAGTGGCGGGACAAGCTACACAGAAGTTTACCGAAGAACAGGAACCTATACCTTACAATCAAAAAGCGAGCACAGAGAGATCAAATTGGTTTATACTAGCTCGTAAAAACGATATTGGATATTGGAATTGTTTGACATTGTTTGTATGTGTCTAAACCTTGAGTCGTAACTTGAATCAGCGGAATGTCCTTGAACTGTTGACTTGATGGTTGTGGAGGATTTCTGTTCATTTTTAGCAGAAAGGAGGGAACTTTTGTTCGACAGTCTCAGTGATCATACAGAAAACTTCGTTGATTCCCCGGTAAGCAATGAAATATCATTCCTTTGTACATTTTTCGAACCTTCAAATTAGGATTCTGATGGTGATGTATGTATAGAGCGAAAGAATGGTGTGAATGCGCTTGTAAATTGGGACACAGAATTGGAATGTAGAGTGCGTGATCGCTTTGAGAGGTTAGTGATTAGTTTTTGTGGCAATGCATTTTACTTCAATCTACTTAGGTTAATAAGCAATATAGAAATGCAGTCGAAAGGCGTTAAACCGTCTTCAGCTGACGAAAAGTTAGTGAAACCTGGTATGTTTCCTACAGCTCCTTTTGGTCCCTTATAGGGTTAATTGTAAGCTTAGAGTAAATCACATTTTATCTGTTGTCTAGTATTAAAACAATTCGTTTAGGAAGTGGTGTATTTTAAATGTTATCAAGATAATTTTTTATTACTGAATATATTGAGTTCGTATAAGGTAATTTGAAGTGTTAGCTGGTGCCACTGATTTAAATTCTACTTATGGAAATGCACTCACTATATTTACTCTATTTGTAATTTATTCGTTAGCACCTTTTCAAAAGTCCCATGATATATAAGTTTATTTCAAATATCATTCAATAATACAGTATCGGTAACTGGATGACGTTTCAAGCACAGTTTATTGCTCATAATATGTCATTGCTCATGTATCATATCGATATGATAATGAGCAATAATTTATTATCGAAATGTCATTCACTTATCAATGCATCACTGTGATATTTGAAATAAACTTATCCAGCATGGAATCTTACCTTACCTGAGTACTAAAGTTCTACACTTACATTAGTGATACAGCCTTAGAAGGTTTATTACCTGGGACTTCCGTCATATTTGCCACTTAAAGGAGACAAAACACGTAGATCAGCAAAGAGTCTCTTTTCAACGAATTCATTTTTTTAGCTGTACAATCGCAAATATATATGTTATTTTGTATTTATGTGTACATTGAAATTCGCCGAAAGGAGACTCTTCGCTGATCCACGTGTTTTGTTTTCATTAATGCCTGGATGGGGGTTATCTATGAATTGAAACGTAGCAAGGACCCCTCGACAGTCAAGGAACTCAATGGGTTTCTACGGTACTCTGTCAAGCTTGATGTGGGGAAAGCGAAAGTTGGCTTTTTCGAGGATTGCGTCGCTAATCATCAGTATCCAAAGTGATTCTGGAAAGCACTGCGACGCAATCATAGATATCCAAATACGAAGTCCCTTCGACGTCATGCACTGAATTGTGCTGATTCTATCAGATCACGTATGCCCGAACTGCAGCGAAATATCAGTCAGAGGTCCTCTGCTTTATACGAATTGATTTCGGACGAATGTCAAAGATTTACCGAATATATCAACTTAGCTGCAAATAAACGGTCGCAGTCTGTCGTAACCCGGCTCAACAACAGCCTTAAGCAGATGAAACCTCAAGGCAAATTTCCTAACGAACCCACAAAGTTTGTTTTCACTTATTCCTCAGTAACTTTAACCAACGTGCAACTGGAAGTCCTATCTCTGGGCCCAAAATTCTGCGATATAAATTTCAACGCCGACAAACTTCATACTCAGATCCAGTTTGAAAATCTAATCAGCCAAACGAACGATCTCAGCCCAACATCTGAAGACGAATTACAGAGATTCAAGTCAACAATCATGGACTGCTGCCACCAATACTTGAATACAAAATCAAAAGTCCGCAACCACCTAACAAAGCGGCACCGAGAAGAATTAAAACAGTTGGGAGGTAACAAAGATCTGCTTATAACTCGCCCCGACAAGGGTGCTGGTGTAGTGCTTCTGAATCGAAAAGACTACATCGAGAAAATGAACGATATACTGTCGAATAAAGATACATTTTCCCAACCTTCCAATGAAAGAAACAAGACGGAACAGATTGAGAAGCAGCTCACAGACGTCTTGAAGAGAATGAAGACCAGTCAACTAATCAGTGTGGATATCTATGACCAGATCCGGCCAACAGGTTCAATAATATCAAGACTTTATGGTCTACCAAAGCTACACAAGGTTGGTCTCCCACTTCGTCCAATTCTGGATATGTCAGGTTCCCCTTACCACTCTATTGCAAAATGGCTAGCAGATATTCTGGAACCTGTAAGGAAACAATTATGTACGCACTCGCTCCGTGACACCTTTCAGTTCGTAGACTGCATGCAAGACTTGAATATATCTAACAAAATTATGTTGTCATTCGACATTGAGTCACTTTTCACGAATGTCCCACTCACGGAAACGGTCTGCTTCATATGCAGATATATAGATGACAACCACCTCAATATTGGAATACCAACAACATATTTGAAGGAATTACTATTGGGATGCACTCTGAACGTCCAGTTCACATTCAACGACACCATCTACAGACAAAAAGATAGTATTGCAATGGGATCTCCGTTTGGTCCACTACTATCAGACTGCTTCGTGGTAAGCCTCGAGAGAGATCCACTGAAGCCAAGCATTGACAATTTGCGACTGTATAAAAGATACGTGGAACGACATTTTCATTATTTGTGACAACAACAGTGACCCCAATTTACTGCTGAAGACATTTAACTGTTTCCATCCAGCAATAAAATTCACTCTTGAAACGGAAAACGAGGCAACGAAGCTGATAAAAGTAAACATTAAAATATACAACGGACTATGAAAAACATTATGGTGATGTTATGGACAAAATGGTAAGTAGTAACGAACTAATTTGAAATACAGAAAATTATATTTAACTGTGAATTTTAAAATCAAGGTGGAGAACAAATGGTGAAGATATAAAAAGAAAGCCACATGATATATCAAAATTAGACAAAATTACGCTTGAATGCGTTAGACAGCACACGTTGTTAAAAATCCGAGTAGTTGCTGGTTGATTTGAAGCTTTTTCGGATGTTAAATGTTTTGAACAAAGACTATGAAATGGTGAGTGACCTATGTTCTTGCGAAACCACTACGCAAATACGATAGCAGTATTTTCCCATATATTTGCCAGCCATCTTTTCGTTGTACGTTTAATGTATTTACTGCCGAAAACACCAGCCGATAGGTCTTCGGTACCTGATATTATTGGTTTTTACAATTCACTTAATCGTTCGCATAATGTTCTATGCTGCATATACTGAGACTGTGCTTGCTTGCCTTACCAAGCGATTTAACGTCTTTTGTCATCTGAGTCTAAAGATGAGAAATTAAGTGAAATATGCTTAATCTAATGATGTCGAATTCTGTGCTAAATGATAATATGCAGACCTGACTGATAGAATTCAGTCTGCACCAAAGAAAGGACTAGACACGTCACACTAGTTACTATTGTCCAATCAAAATACCCACAACAGCCCTACAGGAGGTCTATCACGAACCCGAATAGCTCAGTGGTAACGTCTCTGACTGCAGCACTGGGTGACGCGGGTTCAAATCTCAGAGTGGACATGAGGTCTCTCAATGTTGCAGATGCGTCTTGCTGATGAGAGCCAACTAGCACGAAACTTAGGTCCAAGGGTTCCTGCCGATTGCCTCCAACTATCTGATAATATGGTGTATCAGTGATGCAGCATCATTAACTGAATGGAGTTTTTAGCGTAATAAATTTCTCGTAACCATATGAAGGATATAAATAAGTGACTAATGTATCTCATTTCATATATCTTAAGATATTGCTGGGATGATCGAACTGCATTTGAAGCGTCAAAATACGACAAAAAATAGTGTTCACAGCGAAGAAGATCGTGAAAAACTACGCAGTTTACTGGAAACTGCTAAGTCAAAATGCCTCTCTGTTAAGATTGAGGAGAAAAAGTTCAAGAGATCTCTGTTACGCAGGTTACGTCCGCGCAAATCCAAAAGTCTTAAGAAAAAGCGTACAGGCACCAATATGAAGACGGAAAAAACTCTTATGAAAAATTTTCCGGAGTAAGTTTTCATAGTAAGCTATGGATGGCTTAAAAATACTATTTACACCCGTCATTTTAATTCTGAAATAACTTCATTGTCTCATTTTTTGCCGCGTAACGAAGCGCTTTACTGTAAACTAAGTAAGCTTGGCTATTATTTGTATATTTCTCTGTAAGCTACCTAAAATGCAGAGTCTTATGCAACTATTCACTCGTTCTGGAAGGGGTAACTACTGAGGAATTTAAACATGCTATATAATGATTGTATTTCGTACACTAGTGTTACATTCTTCATACTATATTTTAAGGGAAAGCGTGGTATGTATTTGGTAACAAATGAATTACCTTGACTTTCTGCTAAATATGACTAAGAGTTATGATAATACATTGTCTTACTCATAAATCAACACAGAAATTTGAACGGATTGTCACACTTTGAACAAACATACAGTAAACAGTAACAGAATTGCAGTGATTTGATGATGCAAAAACATGTTTGAAAGTAAAAATAGCTTCATGCAATTTAGTGTGGATATTGGGGACTTAGAATATGTCAAAAGATTAATTCGCCTGGAATATTGTGGGTGATTTTGAGGGATGCCACAAATTATTGGCTGTGACCTTTCTAGAGGACTTCATCCAATTGACCTACTCGTATTTATTTGGTTCAGATTGGTAGTCATTAACTACCTGGGTTGTTTTCATAATTTCACATGAACAACCCTAAGCGTTTCTGAACTTAATCCTACTTCAGCTGACATTCCTCATCATAAAAAACAGCTGCCTCGTGGTTTCAACATATATCCCATCCACCACAACAGATGAAAGTTTGCAACATTGTCAATTTATGTGCCGCAGTTAAGTAACGCTATCACTCATAAGTGACACTCGACTCTCTTAAAGCGTGAGAATACTTTTGATATCTCGAGCATGAGGAAGTTTTAGTATCAGAATATGTACTAAAAGTTCTCTCATCGGAAGACAGTTTTCATTTTAATAATAAGTTAGAATTCGTGGGCCATTGGATCGGGTCCCAGTGGCTTAATGGTCTACGAGCTCGTTTTGTAGCCAGAAGGTCTTGGGTTTGAACCCTAGTGGAGGGTGCGTACTGATGAAGAGTCCCAAACTAGGACGAAACAGCTGTCCAGTACTCCCAGGTTTTCCGATTTTGCTCTAACTGATGTCAGCTCATGATGAAATCCTGTAACCAATTAGTACAACCAAGTTGCATGAAACAGGGGTTTAATGTCTTAGACAATTCAGTTTTGGTTATGCGTCTATTATATCAGACTTAACTTATTATGGTTTATCTAAGAGGTTTGAATACTCACATTTAATCATTGTTGGTTGGTAGCCTAACACAGATTTACGTGTAGTTACTAAATTTTATTTGGATTTTTTCGTTGGCGTTTCCTAACAGCTGTAATATTTCATACAATTATTTGAAAACATTTATTTATACAATTATTTGATATCAGTACAAAACTTGGGCACTGTAGTAGAGCATAACTCCATTATGGATAAGATTTTATTTTGATAAATCACACAGTGTTGTACAGTAATATTAACTGATTACGTTTCGAGCACAAACTATTGCTGATAATCATATCAAGTTACACAACTTTTTTCCTTCATTTATATACATTTGTGGAATCGATTAGATATTGGATAAAATGAACAGAGAAGCTGAAAAGAATCACCCAATTATAATGACGTCATTTTATCCTGCTCACCAGGTTCTCTCTTTTTTCAGACGTGATATTCGTAATTTATTAGTCGAGAGATCCAATTTTACACAAATCTCTCTACAACACCCTAATTGCGTTGAGGGAAATATGTCAGTCCGGTATTCAGTGTTATCGCTAAGCTAACTGGTATGAAAGTGCTGAGCAGTGTTCCTGGAGGAAGCTAATTCTCAAGGCTTCCTGATACATATTCTTTTCTTCTATGAGGAAAACTCTGTTCACCACATTGATGTCTAACAGATATTCTTGCAAGTGAGTTGACCCAAATGTGTGACTGTTACGTCCGGAATCCGTGATAAACAGGTTCCATCAGGAGAGTTGTAAAATCTTGATTCCAAATAGGTGATACGCAAACACTAAAGTACGTATGGAATGAATAGTATACGAACTACTTTCAGCTACTGGCACCCACAGGAATGCGTCTGCTAGTGTTGCTCTACTCCCTCGTGTATAATACTAATCCAAAGATTCAGAAGTTTACTCTCTAATACAACATATTCAGTACCTTCCATCTACCTGGTCCACTATGCATTTGCAACCTCCTTACCTTATCTAAAACCTCAACTCCAAAACTAAGCATCGTTCATTTTGCAATTACAGTGTTTGGCCGGTGCCTTATAGGTATCATTAAAATTGATTATGAAAGTTAAAGGAAGTTACTTCCAGTAAATTTTATTGTGTAATGATAGTTTTCGCCCAGCTCCTTCACACGTATTCGTAAAATTTATTGATGACTCATTGTTATGCAGTACCACTGGATCTCCACCGCCTCATCCGAACTGATAGATGCTAGAAGACTTATTCCGGCGAGCTCCGAATTCAATGAGGAGCGAAAGCTGCACAAGAGGAAACTTACGAAAAGTCTCCGCAAGGACCGTGAACAGTGGTGGGCGACAAAAGCCAAAGAGATGGAGAAAGCTTTGAGGATAGGCAACACCAGGCAACTCTTTGGACTCATCAGGGAAACGGGTGGGAGAAGACAAATCATTAGTGAGACAATCTCGGAAAAAAATGGCACTATAATTAGCTCACAGGATAGACGACTGGATCGTTGGAAAGAGCATTATGAGGAGCAGTTTAATTTGCCCACAGCCACGCTCAACCTTCCGAGCATCCAACACCTCCCTGAATGGGATATAGATACAGGTCCTCCGTCACTAACTGAGGTTACTAAAGCTGTCACCAATCTGAAACTAGGCAAAGCAGCGGGACCTGATGGAATGACGCCAGAGGTATTTAAGTACGGTGGAGACAGCTTACTGTCCGGATTAACTGAGGTACTAGGCAGCGTTTGGGAATCAGAAGAAGTCCCATCGGGTTGGTGTAAGTCACTGATTATCCCCATATACAAGAAGGGAGACAAGTCTTCCTGTGATAATCACAGAGGGATTAGCTTGACTAATATAGTATCTAAAGTCTTAGGCTCAATAATCATGCGTAGACTGAGTGGTGCTCGGGAAGCACAAACACGAGAGAGCCAGGCAGGCTTTAGACCAGGAAGAGGGTGTATTGATCATATCTTCACCCTCCGACAGATTCTAGAACATAGGCATTCCTACCGGCGTCCAACAGTCATTATATTTCTTGACCTAAAGGCAGCATTCGACTCTGTCGATCGGGAAGTTCTCTGGAGATGCTTGGCTGTAAAGGGAATTCCAAGAAAATATATTGCACTGATTAAGGCACTCTACTCGTACTCATACAGCCAGGTGAGGGCTTACGGCGAGCTGTCATCTGAACTGATGACGACCAGTGGTGTCCGTCAAGGATGCCCATTATCTCCTTTTCTATTCAACTTCATCATAGATGTGTTAATGGACTTAACCCTAGGTGACTTCAGCGACTCAGGGATTGACTTGCTACCGGGGAATAATCTCGTTGACTTGGAATATGCAGACGATATAGTCCTTCTAGGCGAAGACGCTGACGAAATGCAGAGTCTTCTAAACACCTTGAGCAGCAATCTACGAATGTTTGGCATGCGATTCGCTCCCGCCAAATGCAAGATGATGTTACAGGACTGGACTACATCGACGCCTAGTTTAAAAATAGGAAGTGAAGTGGTAGAGCACGTTGACCGCTTCACTTATTTGGGAAGTACCATCAGCCCCAACGGGCTGATCTCTGACGAAATCTCAGCACGAATACAAGGGGCTCGTTTCGCATTTGTTAGTTTACGCCGACTCTGGCGTAGACGAGATGTTCGACTATCGACCAAAGGGCGGGTGTACTGCTCATCAGTCCGCTCCGTCCTCCTTTATGGTTGTGAGACCTGGCCACTGAGAGTGGAAGACATGAAAAGACTAGCTGTCTTTGATCATAGGTGCCTGCGTTCTATTTCCCGTGTAAAGTGGCATAATAAGGTGAGCAACATGGAGGTTAGGCGTAGAGTTCTAGGTAAACAGGGGAAATCAATCGACGAAGTCGTGAAGCTACAAAGACTGAGATGGTTAGGACATGTGTTACGTATGCCAAGCCATCGCCTCCCTCGACGAGCAATGTTAGCGGATATAGGGTCAGGCTGGAAAAAAGCTAGCGGCGGTCAAACAAAAACTTGGCATCAGTCAATGAAATCCACAACAGTTGGTCTAAGCCACGTAGAAAGGTGTAGACTTCCAGGCTGGGGTCCTCGGGACGGTAAAAATCTATGGTTGGAAACAATTGGTGACATGGCTCAAAATCGTTCTCAGTGGCGCAGATGCATCCACTCCTTGTGACTTATGATCTCCAATGAAACTGTTTTGTATTTCTTTATTACTCCTTTGTCTCACACCTCTGCTCACTGTTTCTATTATGCTTTTCTTGTACTTTCTTCTCTTGCTTCGCGTGCTACACGGAATGTGGCGACTTGAACTTCCGCACATTTGTGCAAAGTTCTATGTCGAAAACAGACAGACAGTTATGCAGTCCACCTCACAGTGAACATAAACAGCCAGTTTTTTAATATGAAACCTCTTATTTTTGCTGCTTTGCTTTTTATGACTATTGTTTCCACTTCTTTAACCTTTATACATTCTTTTTTTGCATACAGATCAGGAAACGGATTTTTCTGTTTACTCAGAGGATTTCTAACACTTGAGGGTGAACGGAGAAAGCTGACTACACCTCAAATATGTGAATATGTTCGTGAATGGCAACTACAAAATCAAAGTAAATTAAGAAAGCTTGGTGGGACCTACAGTTGGATTGATCGGGTATATTTCTTTATGATCTTTGTATATATATAAAATATATATATATATAAGCTTTAACCTCTATATCACCTGGTTCAGTGTTCAGAATGCAAAAATCATTTTTGTCGTAAACAACAACGCTTAGCTCCTGCAAAAATATTTCTAAGTTCTCCGATTTGAAAGTAACGTTAAATTAATGGCCTGCTGTCACATAATGTGTTATTTAATTCGAAAATTCAGTTTGCCCTCGAACTTAGTGTTTCTAATAAATTGTTTAATGGGACGGTTTATTATTTGTATACATTGTTCACAATAGCCACGTCCTACCAAAAATCAGCTAAAATCTTTCAATTACAAGTCTAATTAAAAAATTTCCTAAAGATTTTACAAATGATATTTTACTAGCTCTCCATTTAACTAATATATAATCGATATTCTCTTCAATAGTAATAATAATAATAATAATAGTAATAATAACAATTGATTTTCAGTAGACTAAGTGTAGATTGTTATTAAGATGTAACAGCTTAATGTCTGTAATTGTGTGTGTGTGCAACATATTTGAGAGGCACTACATGGTTATTTAGTCCTACATAAAGTCGATCACTGCCCGGATAACCCAGTTGTAATATTTTTGATCGCAATACTATGTAATGCCGGTTTGAATGTCCAAGTAAACCTCAGTTCCTTCAAGTATGCTGTTATGTTTTCCTGATAGTAGCCACTAAACAGGAAATAAAATCCAAAGGTTCTTATCTATTGCTCCCATCCATGTGGAGTCAGATTTAAATCTACTATGGAAATGAATTGCTGGAATTTGTTAGATGTGCAAATCACATCTGGTGTAGTTTTATCATCATTTCGTTTGTATACTAACGTTAAAATGATAATTAAAGTTCAGTAGAGAGGAGTATGTAGGATGTTTACATTAAATCCAGAGTGTTACTCTGTTAAGTATTTTAATATCAGTAAAAAGTTTGAGCATTGTGGATTAGATCAGATAAAGTATAATTATATTTCAATAGTTTACACACAATGATAAGTTTTGTTATTGGTAATATTTCGAGCAAAATTACTGCCCGTGTTCACACCACTGTTGGAATTGTTTTATTCACACATTTATGATTTGTATTCAAATATATAGTTCATTATTATAATTTTTGTTTGCCATTCATGTTTTGTGTGTGTGTGTGTGTGTTCAGAATTATATTTCATGTTTATTCATGTGTTTGTATTTAGAATTATATTCCAAGTTGTTGATAGTTGTACTGAGTCACCCTTGTTACATGTATCCGGTGTGACTTTAATGAATATCGATTCTGTTATGAGTCTTTCTTTCCATTTGTTCATGTTTGTTTTTAGAATACACACATTGTCCCAATCGATATTGTGGTTTTTGTCCCATGCATGTGCAGCTATCGATGAATTTTTTTCAAGATTTTTGTAAGCTTGTGTCCCTGTTGGTTGACCTTTAGTTAGGCGTTTATGTTCATTCACTCTTATTTTGAGTGATCTGGACGTTTGCCCCACATATTTAGTTGGACAGTCAGCACAAGATATTTTATAAATCAAATTGTTTTTATCCATCATTTTTATGGGATCTTTCAGTTGATTTATTTTATTTTTGATTAGATTTGTCGGTTTAAAGGTTGTTCGAATCCCGATATTTTTGAGGTTTCTTTGTATTGCCTCTGATGTACCATTTTTATATGGTATTGCGACTGTTTTTTTCCATTCTTCCATCTTGTTATTCTCCGGTTTTACCCTCTTTTTTTCTCTTTTTTATATTATCTTTTATAAATTCTTTAGGGTAGTTGTTTTCGAGTAGCATTTTGAATAGGACTTTTATTTCTTTACGCTGGTCCTCTGGTGTTGTTGTAAGTCTACGTATTCTATCTGCAAGACCTTGTATTAATCCTCGTTTTACCGAGAGTGGATGAGCTGAGTAATAATCAAGGAATCTTCCAGAATGTGTGGCTTTTCTATATATCGTTGTTTTTATGCTACCATCTGTCATTCTTTGTAGTTTGCAATCTAACATGGGCAGTTCTCCAATTTCATTCTCTAATTCCATAGTTAATTTTATTGAGTCGACGTGGGTGTTTATGTGTGAGAAAAGTTTCTCAGTATCGTTTTTTTCACTATTACTAGTGTGTCGTCTACATATCTCCACCAACATTTTAGTGATGATCTGAATGGTTTAAGGGCATTCTCCTCCCAATAATCCATGAATATGTCAGCTATAATTGGTGAGATAGGCGATCCCATAGCTACTCCCTCCTTCGAATGTGAAATATGTTGTTGTCAGACAGAATTCTACCCCTTTTATTATTTCTTCTACGGATAACTGTGTTCTGTCTTTCAGGCCATTATCTTCATTTAGTTTCTCTTTCAGTGCAATCATGGCCATTTGAATGGGTATTTTCGTATAAAGACTGTTTACATCAAAGCTAACTAGTATTTCTTCCTCCTCTATTTTAGTGGTTTTTATTCGCCTCACTAATTCAAATGAATCTACTATTCTAGCTTTTGAGTTGTCTCTTGTCGGTCTTAGTATTGTCGAGAGAAATCTGGATAGCATATACGTTGGTGTGTTTCTGAAGTCTACAATCGGTCTTATTGGATATCCCTCTTTATGCAATTTTATCTTACCATATATCCTAGGTACATTACAGGATTTTGGCATAATTTCAAACCATTTTGACTTACCAATTACTTCTTTCATTTGTCTAACTACCTTTGCTGTTTCTTTCATTGTTTTGTTGATGATTGTTTCAGCTGATTTAGTCATTATGGTATAGGGTCCAGATTGTAGATGTTCATTCATCTTTTCATTATATGTTGTTTTGTTAAGTAATACTGTTGTGTTTCCTTTGTCTGCTTGAGTAATGACAATGGATTTGTCTGCTTTTATGTCTTGAAGTGCTTTTAGTTCCTCCTTCGTTATATTTGGTTTTTCTGCTTTTTGCTTTTTTAAGGTTAGTGCACATTGTGCTCGTACCAGTTCAGCTTTTTGCTTGTCATATCCTTCGAGTGCTGTTTCAATTATAGGTATGATGTCTTCAGGTTTTAATCTTTTGTTGCTGATATTGAAGTTCATCCCTTTCATCAGTACACTTTCCTCTGCTTCTGTTAGCTTTCTGTCTGACAAGTTTACAATCCAATTGGCTTTAGTTACTTGTCTGTCATTCGGGGTTTTCGCTATCATGAGTTTATTAAATTTTTTTATTTGTTTCTCCTTTGTTTTTTCATAAGTAGTTTCTTTTCGTTTTTGTGCAACTTGTAGTATGCTTTCATACTTTTCTTTTTCAATTACTTCTTTCAATTTTTCTTTTACTTCATTAATATCTTTCCTTATCGTGAATAGCTTTTGTATAATTCCACGTAGGTTTTCTTTGATGCATATTTTTGAGGCATGTGTGAGCGCTGCATTTGCTTTATCAGTAGATATCGGTGATTTTAATTTCATGTATACAGGAATAATTCCATTTTTAAGGCATCTGATGTTGAAAATTCGATGGTTCATAAATCGAGATTCAGCTTGATATAAATGTGTGAGTTTTTTGGCCAGTCTTTTAATGGGAAGACCGTCAGTTGAATTAATATCAGTAAAAAGTTTGAGCATTGTGGATGAGATCGAATAAAGTATAATTACATTTCAATAGTTTACCAATAACAAAACTTTACATTGTGTGTAAACTATTGAAGGAAATGCAACAGTAGTATTGGACAAATCAGACTATTTGGATAAGGTAAATACTCACATACAAACAGGACCATATGAGGAAATTAATAAATCAGTAGACACAGTTATGAATAAAGTTAAGAAATGCATAGCGGACCTTATACGCTGAATGAAGCCATTTCTAGATGAGTCGAAGTGATTTAATTTAATGCCAAAAACTAATAACCCCAGTAGAATGTATGGTGTTGTTAAAGTTCATAAGTCAGGATACCCTATTAGGTCTATAGTTGATTTTAGAAATTCACCTACTTATGAATCATCTAAATATTTAGCCATGGTATTTAATCCCCTAAAAATCCACTCGAAATCTAGACTAACTAATTCTTATGAACTAAAACACAGATTAGATAATGAAGAAAAAATGGTTAGTTTTGACATTGTCAGTTTATATACGCGTATACCAATAAATATGGCTATAGAGGCAGTCAGAAACGAACTCATTTCTGACCAAGAACTCGAACGTAGGACAAAAGTGCCACTTGAGGACATAATGCTTGGAGTGCAGCTTTGCCTGACTTCTACAGTATTTAAATTCCAAGGGAAAATATACAAACAAACTGAGGGAGTTGCCATGGGATCACCAATACCCCCGGTTGTAGCAGATATATTCATGGATAGGTGGGAAAAGATAGCGATTGAAATGTTCACCCCCATCCCAAAAGTATGGTGGAGGTATGTAGATGACACATTCACTGTACTTAGAACACAAGATATAGATAGATTTTTCGAGCACATCAACTCGAAGGTAGAGGCAATTCAATTCACTTATGAATTGGAAAGTCAGGAAGGGGAACTTCCAATGTTAGATTGCAACGTAAAAAGGAAAGAAGATGGGAAGCTAAACACTAGTGTTTACAGAAAACCCACACATTCAAACGGATATTTGGATTTCCGATCATCTCATCCTATGTCAGTAAAAATAGGATTAGTGAAATGTTTAAATGACAGCACAAAAACTAACTAGTACCAAGGAAAATCTAAGACAGGAAGTGATACACATAAAAGAAGCCTTGAAACTTAATAATTACCTGGATAAATTAGTCAAGAAATATGTAAGTAAATGTAAAAATAAATAATGATAATAGCGATAGTGATAATAATAATGGTAATAATAATGGTGATGATGATAATAATAATAATAGTGACGACACCAACAATAAGGAATCTAAATCATCAACAGTAATTCCATACAAGGAAGGAACCTCAAAAACATTACGGTGGAGAATTCCTAACAATTCTGGCAGCAATAAAAGTCTTTGGCATTCATACCCACAAACTCAATTAGAAACAAGCTTTGTCGGTTAAAGGATCCTGTAGAACCATTAAAACAAAACAATTTAGTTTATCTAATACCCTGCTGGAATGATTGTCAGGTCAAATACATAGGTCAAACTAGTAGAACAGGGGCAGTCAAACTAGCCGAACATAAAAACCTAGCTAAATCTAGATTAGTTGACCCAAATAAGATAAGAAATCTAGAGAATAGTTCAGCTATAGCACTCATTACATGAAGTTACACACAACCATACACTAGGATGGGATAGGATGACAGTTTTAAAATCTAATGTCACAGGGTATAGGGAGAGATTGAAAACAGAAGCTTTGTTTATCGAGTCAACTGCAAATACATGTAATAGGAATGATTCAACACCTGTCCCAGATATCTCGAAAATTCTACTACCATTACGATAAATAGGAGAAGACAAAGAAAATTATAAAACTCGAATTTCAAAGTCGGTGCGTCGGTGGCACAGTGGTTAGGACTCTCGCCGACCATGCACATGGTCGGGGTTCGAGCCCACGCCGGCGCATACCTGATATCTATGGTCAGCCTGCAAAATTTGGGCTACGATATCCATGCTGAAAATTCCATACTTGTACCAAAAATACAGTGTGGAATCAAGCTGTAAATCAAAAAAATAAATAAATAAATAAAAAATAAAAAAAAGTCGTGTGATCATAATTGATATGATTATGAACAATAAATTTTGTTCGAAACTGTGTCATCCAGTAAACAATACTGTTCCACTGTGTGATACATCTAATAAACAAACTAATATGGGATTACTTACTACCACAGTTCCCAAGTTTTACACATATATTAACTTGGAATATAATTCTAAATACCAACACATGAATGAACATGAAATATAATTCTGAACACACACACACACTCAAAACATGAATGGGTAACGACAAAAAATTATAATAATGAGCTATATATTTGAATACAAATCATAAATGTGTGAATAAAACAATTCCAACAGTGGTGTGAACACGGGCAGTAATTTTGCTCGAAATATTACCAATAACAAAACTTATCATTGTGTGTAAACTATTGAAATATAATTATACTTTATTTAGGTATTTTAGCTTGATATTTATTGCTTTCCTTCATATGTTACAAACTTGATTTTTCGCTAAAACTAACGGTTGTAATTCTGTAGATGTGTTAATTCTTCTGAGACAATATGTCTTTATGGAAGCAGACGAAAGAAGAGTAGCTTGTTCCACGTACAGCACAAGTAAACTACGTCATAACAAAAAATACATAGACGAGCTGGTATACAGGGTTGATGGGTAATATCGCAATATAAGGTTGAACTAACGACTGATATAAAAAGAAGTCAGTAATGAAACTGTGGAGGATTTCACTATCAGCTAACATCAGTTAGAGAACCACTGGAAAACCTGGGAGTACTGAACAGCTGTTTCGTCCTAGTAATAAAACTATCAGGTAGATAGTTAAAGGTGTCAATTCAGGTCTCTGCTGGTGTATTTTAACAGTTTGTGAATCCTTTAAGGTTTTTATCTCACCACCTTTCGTTTCATCAGTCTGTCTAAGTATCTTATTAATTTTTATTTTCATATACTTCTTATATATCAGGTAGAAAACTGGTCATCAGTGACTTCACATGCGCTACATTTTCTAACAGCTGAACATGTACCGGAGAATGTTGTGCACAAAAGTTCCCGTCGACTTATATGCCCAAGACCATATGTCGATTTGAGGCCACGCATTCATCAGTGGCGCTGGCTATTATGTCCTCCTTCTGGAGCCAATCCAAAACTCGACCGGGAATGGAGCAGGAAATTTGAAAAGGAAACAAAAGAATTGGTTGGAATATTTACAGATTGGCTTCGAGCACCACGTGGACTCGGTGGACTAACAGATGCCATTTTATCCACTTCAAACTCCTCACTTGCAACTGGTAAACGTAAGAAAAGACGCACAAATGTTAAGCATGAAAATAAGAGTAAGCAGTGTTCTCAAGATTCTGATTGTAGCAGTTATAAGTCAAATGTAGTTGATTCGGAGCTCGACGAAGATCAAACGTGTTTACAAATAGACGATGGTCAAATTGAGTCTGATAACATTGAAAAGAAAAGTAAAAGCAAACAAGAAGTTAAGACAAAGGTTTCTAAACATTCACAACAACCAAAAACTAATGAAGATGATGATATACCTCCACCATTATTGTAAGTCAAACTTCATAATATCATCTGTCCCTAATTAACAAAAGTCATGTCAGTCAAGATAATTGTTAGTTTGTACGATGACGTCATCAAATGGTTTGTGCATAAACCGTTATCTTTCTTATGATCACATTTGTAAAGGGGAATAAGTGTTCATTTATGAAACTATTTCAAAGTAATGAATAAAAACTTGGACATTCAATTAAAATAACCATTTACACTGGATTTTACTTTTATGATAAGATTGTTATTATTGGATATTAATTAGTTGATCGACTTTTATTTACTTATTACAGCCCAACATCATGGAAACTTCGTCCATTTACTAAAGAAGAGAAAGCGAAATTTCAATTGCAAGTATGTTCCTGTGCATGTGTTTTAATATAAAGTACACGGTAGAGAATCAATAAAAAAGGTGTTTTGCTTTGATGATGAGTCTCAGTCCTCTGTAAAAAGCTTTCCTAAGCTATATGATTGCAGTACACTGCTCATTAGTGACTTATTCAGTGACTGATTTTTCGAAATTCCAATGAAAGTTGTGACCCATTGAGCTCCATCTTGTCCAGTTAGAGAATTGACACTCCCGGATAGCATTGTGCAGTAATGACGTTATATAACGAGTCGGAAAAACCTATAATTTAAGGGTCACCTCGTAACACAAACATCATGAGTTTGATGCTTACTGTGTTTTATGGATTGCATGGAGGATTTCATCATGAGCTGACATCAGTTAGAGAACCACTGGAAAACTTGGGAGTACTGGACAGCTGTTTCATCCTAGTTTGGGACTCTTCAGCAATACGCACCCACTGGGGTTCGAACCCAGGGCCTTCTGGCTACAAGGTGAGCCACTGGGACCCGATCCAATGGTTCTTGAATTCTAACTTCTGCCAGTCCACGACATAGCGCGATCATTTTATGGATTCACACTACTAAACAGTCTGAAACAAAAATGAAACGGCTGTTCTGTGCTCCTTCCTTTCCCATGGTTTTCTTGTCTACCTCTGTGTGCTATTTGGAACGTGGCAACTCGAACTGCTGCACTTCGGTGCCAAGTTCTATGTTGAATCCAGCCAGCCATGGTTTTCTAATTGATGTCAGTTCATAATATAAACCATCTGTTGTTGGTCAAGTAGTTGAGGCCTCCACAAATCTACCTTTAATGGCTCTGTTTTACAACCACAGAAGAACAGAGTTTAATCGTATGTTTCACACCAGACCATTTCTATCTGTACTGAGGACTCATCAGTGATTAGCCTATTAGGGGGCTGGGCTGATGAAGCTTTTCGAATAAAAGAAGCAGTAAACACTCCACTGATCACTTCACTTTCTATCCCATAACTAGGATTTCACCGATCAGGATTGTGTCCCGTTTGCTAACAAAGTCAGTGAGATCCATTCTTGTTGTCAAATCAGTGCCAGTAGATGCCACAGTCAAATTAAGAGAAAATTGTGACACTAGACATTTCTAACTGAGCACACAGGTCTCTGTCACTGCGCATTAACTATTGCTCGGTGGCACGAGTTCGATTAAGGCAACATACTTTCTCAACGGTCCCTTCACCACCACTCCTATCAATTGATGGATTCTAATGCTTTTTTCAGGTCACGAAATATGGTAATTGTTAGACTGTAGTAAGTTTTCTGTCTAAGGATGAGTAATTGGTCAACATACCCGAAATATGCTGGTTCTTTCGTTCTTCACTTGATATTCGTATGATTGCGGAACCTAGAAACATGGATTCTACACTAAGTTTGGTCCAGCTATAGTTCGTCTCTGCTTATAACAAAATTTTTTTTCACATTGAACAACCAGAGGTTGATATTAGTAGGAGGGAATCATGTCTAGGTCTCATACTGCTGCTAAAATTTCAACCAACTTGGAAAGTTATCTTGGTAAGTCATCCCTTAAAACGTCTGGATATACCATGTTAATTTTATTACGTATATCACAGTGTTAAAATGCTCGCCAACCACACAGGTGGTTCGGTGTTCGATCCCCAGCCGACACACTCCCAAATCTCGAAAGTCCGGTAACAATACTGGTAAAGAGGAAAGATTGGACATGAGGCCAACAAGCCCATCCTGTAAAAATAATCACCACTGCTATCGCAACCTTCAGAGCTCTAGCTTGAAGCCCTATGTTCCACTGGGAACGTAAAGGAATAATAAAAAATATCACAGTGAAACAGTATTATGTACTCCATGATATTGATGACACAGTTTGTTGCTTTTACTCATATCATAACTAGAAATAGCCCATAAGATTTTGCTATCTTCTCTTGTATAATCTTTCATAATTGCTGCAAGCAGTGGGAGTTTCATCTCAACCACCAATTCTGAATCCGACCGGTGGGTAGAAAGTTAGATAGTAGTTAAAAGCGATCATTTTAGTTCCTAGAAGTTGGGGTGCACTGGCTTTGTGTGGACTTCGGTGTCTGATCATAGACGTTTCATCACCGTTTCGGTGGCACCTTTAACCTTGACATCAACAAGGAACTTCCAAAATAGAATTTCAAGGCTAGAGAAACATTAAATGTAATTTTTACATATGTCTACTTCTCACCGGGTGCCCACTTATTGTGGAACTATTCGGTCAAATCTTGATCACAGTTCATTTAAAAAATCAAGTAATTTCCTTCATTATCCCTAGGGTAAAACCCGAAGTTCTGTTCACTTTCTTCAGGAATGAACTATTTAGCCATCTTATCCCGTTATTTTTTCTTAAATTTAGCCTCCTTGATTAACCTAAACAGTTGCTTGTGTTCTCTCCACCTCTCTAAGTTTTATCATATTCAATAGTTTGATCTGACTCTTAAGTCTAGCTTACATTAAAATATATTTTAGTTTTATTATTTCCAATTATTATTATCCAATTCTTTCATGGTGTGACAAGCTTCTCAGTTTCATTTTAGTTATCGTGGCTCATCAGATTAATTCGAGATGCAAGTCTGACGACCATGTTTCAATAGCTGCTATCTAAGGTAACAAGTATACCTATCTAATGGTCATTGATCAACACCAAATCTGATTTCATTGCTCCAACTAACTGCCTACAGTTATTACACTAAACCAAGTTTTAAATGAGTTGCCCCATCAACAAGGTGGTGTTTAACTTCTTAAAATTTTATGATCACCCTGGTAAATTTAATGTATGTACTCTATGCTTTGTATGGCAGAGAGATATAGCAGACTGTAGTTGTTGCCTGGTATAAATAGTATTATTACTAAAATTGGAAAGTTATTTTGTGCTGATTTGTAAACTTTTGTCGTTTATACGGTAAGTGGGATTTTATACATAACTTTTTTTGCATTAATTCATTACGGAAGTTTGTTGGGACTCTGGATATGTAGAGACCTTCAGCTTATTTCCTAATTCAAATATCTTTTCATTGATTTCCCCCAAAGTTATACGTTGATTTTTTTTATGGATGTGCTTACTCTCCAAGGAACTGGAACGTTTTTCACAGCCATGGACGCCATTTGTTTACCAGATACAAGATTATTATGCCACCGTTGGACCACTTCGTTCTGCTCCAAGCGCACTGAATCAAGATTCGGGATCTCTTAATCCAGGTCGTAATTGGTCTGGCCATTCTAAGGCTAGGGATCATCCTTTATTAAAACCGGATCGTCCTACGTTTGCTAGTTTGGCTGAAATTGTTCGAGATGCTGTGGCTTGTTTGCCCAATGGAGAAGGAAGCCGTACAGATATCACTACACTTGTACAGAATAGTGTCTTTTTGCTACCGAATATCGATCCGCGTAAGGTAATTCCATATAAGTACACGATTACCTGTGCGGTATTCTTTTCACCGTAATATATCTGCATCTTTTATATTTTCAAACGAGAAATCGGTACAGTTTCTCAGATCTTGTGGGTTCACTATGACATGAATATAACTGAATAGTCAGTAAAACATAACTTTGGCTTCACTTTTTCCCACTGTTTTGTTGGGTAAAACAATGTCAAGATTCGTAATAATTTCTAGAGACCTAACATATCCATTACAAGTAGATTTTTGCATACAGGAATGATGATTTGGGGGGTGGGATTCCAAGTGACATGTGGAAATCAATTTGATTTAATTAGTAGGCCTTAGAATTGTAGGCGGTCTAACTAGTAACTAGTATGTAAATCTGGCTATTTCTAAGTGAAATACCCCCCTTGGTTAATGTCCGAGGAATACAACGAGGCATCTGTATGACGACTGAATGTTGCAGACTTTTTAGCTTTACATATTATGAATATTAACATGTCGACCGTAGTCTTGCGTGCACTCCACGTAGAGGGTTGGTGTGAATTCAATCAAAATATAGAAATGCGAATTTTCAAATTAATATGTTTAAAATAATTAAATTCACCAAACTTTGTCTATGCAGATTAGTTCAAAGGATTGTTTAACTAATTTGAAGTGTTTCTTCGGCTAATTATTACCTGTTTCGAAACATCATAGTGACATCCAAATAGGCTGTCAATCCTCTTCAGTTACCAGTCGTCATTATTATTATTATCACTACTATGATTTGAAATACAATTTCATCAGACAGTCTAGTTATTATTCATTTCGATGTCTGTAGGGAGTTTGAAAATTTGTATCATTGATATAAGGATAAAACGTGTGCACTGTGGTGGAGTATAATTCCATTATGGGTAAATTTTTGTTTTGATAAAGTCTCACAGTGTTATACGGTAGTAATATTTACTGATGGCTTTTCGAGCTCAATTCATTCACATCAAGGTATTCACACAACTTTCTAACTTCGTTTACATAATTCAACTATTTTCCATCGTTTGATTTGATTGGTGGTAGTATTTTCCATATTTCATGTATGAGTGATGAATCATTCCTATTGCATGTGTTGGGTGTAGACTCGATGAACAAGGATTCAGTAATCAATCTCTCACTCCACCTACCTAGATTACTTTTTAGAATTTCACCCTCTTCCACCATGCTATTGTGTGGTTGTGTGTTAATGCATGCATTTCAATTGCTGAGCTTTTTTCTAAATTCCTTATCTTTTCAGGGTCAACCATTCTTCCCTTAGCTAAATTCTTATGTTCTGACAATTTGACTATCCCTGACCTACTAGGTTGACCTCACTCACAGTCATTGCAGGGTAGTTTGTAAATTATATTATTTTGTTTAATTGGGTCAACCGACAGGGTCCTTTAACCTACAGAGCTTGTCCGAGCTGAGTGAGTTTGTAGGTTTAAATGCCACCCTAATTCCTGCTTTATTTAGAATCCTACGTAGGGTTTCAGATGTCCCCTCTTTATAAGGTATAACTGTAGATGACTTATATTCTCTCTTATTTATGTTATTATTACTAGCTTCCCAATTATTTTTGTTTTTCCTTTGGCCTTTTCCGATCTTCCTAATGAATTTTAAAGGATAGTTATTCAACACCAAAGCCTCTTCTGTCTGTTTTATTTCATCATTTAGGTCTTTTCTTGTGCTTTTAGTGCTACTGCTCGGTTTGTTTAACACTTAACTAAGCCTGCCTTAACAGTTAACGGATGAGATGAATTAAATAGAAGAAGGTAAACTGCACACTGGTATTTGTAATAGATATTTAGACTTTATATAATATATATGATATAAGTAGGTGAAGCGAGAGAGGTTGATTACTGAATCCTTGTTCATCGAGTCTACACCCAACACATGCAATAGGAATGATTCATCACTCATACGCGAAATATGGAAAGTACTACTGCCAATCAAATCAAGTGAAAAATAATGGAACTGTATAAATGAAGTTAGGAAGTCGTATTGTGGTGAGAGAAGGCTGCTAGCCAATTGGTAGACATCAATCTACGTCAATGTCTAGGTCACTAATATTGGTCGTGGGAAAATATGAACAAGGCTGATTCAACAACCAATCACAGCAGACCTAAACGTGGGCAAATATGCTGAGAATTCCATTCTGTATCACAAGTACTGATTTGGAATAAAGCTTATGTTATGTTATGATTCGCAGAAAGATGGCTCCACTTTTCGAGAAATCTCGAAAACAACCAATCAGAAGAATGCGTTTGTCTACTTGAATAAGCTATAATAATGTACAGGAAATATATATAAATACGTGTTGATTTCCGTAATAAAACGATCTGTTGCCGGCCCTTGTCTTCTGTTGTTACAGTGTGAGCACCTTGATATGATTATGAGTGGCAATAAATTGTGCTCGAGACGTCATCAGCAAATATTACTGTATAACACTGTGAGACTTTATCAAAACAAAATTTTACCCATAATGGAAGTTTGAAAAGTCCTCTGTAATAACTTCAGAAGCAGCTATTTTATCGGTCTAGTTTTTAGCGTACACATGCTATCGTATTTTTGTGTATCAAATGACTTTGCAACTGTCTGTAAAAATATCGTTGAAGCATTTAACAAAGTTATGTGTTTGAAAGAAAAACAGGCAACTAAAAATGCAGTGCAAGCAAGAAAATTAGCATACACTGGCACTATATAAGTTAAGTTAAAACGCAGGCATTCACGTGAACGGGTATAATACAGATACCATCACACCATCGAATAAAACAAAAGAGATCAATAAGTTGAATGAAGTAAGCAAAAGATATTTGATGGTGGGACAATCGCTATTTACAGTGACATGCCGACTAGATATATGTGTGCCACAGGTTTCAAGCGAAGTGTCTTACCATTGAACTCGGATTCTCAATAGATTTCGTTAAAAAATATTTGCCACTGCTTACAACAGATTTGTAAACTGTATGAACACATACCATATCTTGATCTGATCTTCTTCAGACTATTTCAACGTGTTTAACTTATGTCTTTTACTAAGCTTCAAGGTCTGTTTGAATCACTGGGCTACCGGCACTGCTTTCCACCGAAATGCTTAGTTTCATATGGATTTATCATTGTTTCAATCGTTCAGTTATACCAAATGGCCTATACGTGATTTTGCGCGCAGATTTAACTTGCTTCCAAGTAAACGCTGTGCAATTCTTCACATTATTAATTTACATGAAAATCCTGCCTGAAGAAAAAAGTATTTTGGAACTGAATATGCCGAAAATTTTTTTACCATGTGTTCACATATTGTCTGAAATAAAGCTTTATTATTATTATTGCTTAGCACTCTGATACATATATGAAGCTCTCCAGTGGTGCTTCGAACTCATGATTTAGTAAAAAAAAAAGTAGTTTTAAGCTTATATAGTCATCATGTTCAAAGTTGTTCGTGAAATTTCAGTCTGGGCGTAATTGTTTGTAGATTGTTTTTTCTGTGCAGTGAAATTACCTTCTATACTTTCTTAAACAGCTACAACAGTGCGTCAGTTCAGCTCTGGATCGTTTGCAGGGTGAAACATCTGATCCATCTGTTTATTTTAACAGCAGTCGTCGTATCTGGATCTATCGTCATAGATGTCGATCTTTTGATCAATTTGGTGAGTGTATCAGCCTATATGCATAATAATGAAAGAATCATTGTTGTTGACAACATTTTGGGAAGTCTGAAGTCAGTGGTTGGATGTTGCCTTAAAAAAAACACTAATGTCGTCAGTATCCATCATTCTTTAATTATTATGAATATGTAACTGCAGAACCTAATGACGAAGTTATGGAAAAAAAAGTATCCTTTTTTCAGTAATCAGTTATCTTCTTTTGGATTCGTGGTGTAGCATCACTGCACAGTGCTATCAGAAATTGTCTTTTTTTTCTTACTGGACATAGTGGGTGCGGTTCCCTAGCCATGATATTTCCTTCGAGTATCAGTTTGTTCATCCTGGAATTAGTTAACAATGAACAGTGGTTTAATTTTCGATTTAGCGCTTATGGGAATTCGAGTGATACATCAATCAGGTCTATTATTGAAAAATAAGCAAAAAAAATTCTGAAATAAACAGTACAATTAGAAAATTGTCTGTCTGTCTGGATTCAACATAGAACATGGCACCGAAGTGCAGCAGTTCGAGTTGCCACGTTCCTAATAGCACACAGAGGTAGACAAGTAGATGAGTGAAGAGAATCAATACAGTCTGACAAGTATAAGAGTGAAACAGAATGGGTAATGGTAGAAAGGAATATGAAAGATTACAGAGACTGAATACATCAGCACTGGCCATTGACAACGATTTTGAGCCATGTCACCTATTGTCTCCAGCCATTGATTCCTAGAGTCCCGAGGGCCCCAACCCGGAAGTCTGCATCTCCCTACCTGACTCAGTTTAGCTGTCAAGGATTTCATGGATTGATGCCATGTTTTTGTTTGGCCACCACTGGCTCTTTTCCAACCTGCACTTATATCAGCTAGTAATGCCCGTCGGGGGGAGGCGATGGTTAGGCATGCGCAGCACCTAACCTAGCCATCTCAATCTGTGTAACTTTATAACCTCGTCGATTGATTTTCCCTGTTTGCCCAACACTCTACGCCTAACGTCAACATTACTTACCTTGTGAAACCACCTAACGTGAGACAGGGATCGCAGACATCTATGATCGAAAGCAGTCAACCTTTTCATGTCTTCAACGCGTATTGGTCATGTTTCAGAGCCATAGAGAAGGACATTAGAAAATTGTGGAATTCGACAAATTGTAAGTGATTATAGCTGAATGTACACCAGATAACTAAGTAATTAAGAGTTCAGAGAAAGAAACAATGATATAAATAAGGCAACTGTAGCAATCGAATTACTTCCTGTCAAGTCAGAAATTTAAAGAAGCGTATTATTAGGGTCAAGGCTTTATTGAGACTCGAAATATTCCGTTACAACGCGTCGAAGTTACAAAAAAATCCTAAGTTCTGAGTTCGTTTACTGTTCACAAGTTTCAAACCCACACTCATTACGGTTATTTTCTGAAACTTCGTAGATAATTTAAAAAAAATTTTTTATAAAGAAGCGTTAATCAAAGGTTTAATGATTCAACTGGCAGCTTATTTGTCATTTCCCTCCTTTTTTAACCCCTCAGGACAGTGTTTGGGAATAAATATATGATCATTCAGGCATATATTACTTTGGTGAAATATTCTTCTCAATCTCCCTAGTTTAGTTTCTTGAACCAGTATTCAATTATTCCAATTGCGTATATATGTTTTTGTATTTTCTGTGATTTCCACGTGTTTTTCTTTTCAAAATTTCTTGCACAGCTAAACTACATGAAGCCAGATGTGCTATCAACGAAACTAAAAAAATTATCCAACGTGGTGGTGATACTACAACATCTGTCAACAGCACTAACAAAGTAGTTAGGCATACTAATATACGTATTCCTGAAAAACTGGCTGAATACTCAGTTAAATCCAACAGTCTGCGTAATAACACTTTGAAAAATTCTGGACGTTATCAACACAATGGAGGAAGACATATTCAATCAGGTTATGTCTGTCGAGATTATGGATATATGGAGGTCGGTGATGATCATTCACTGAATGATCATGATGATTATATTCCAGACATTGAAGAATTGGAAGCAGCTGATGAAAATAACATGATTGATTATAGTTGCACATCGCCTGTTACTTCAATAAATTCTAATGATGTAGGTGTTTGTGATATTGTTACCGCTGATTATGGTAGTGACAATGATGAGGATGTGGATGAAGAGGAGGATGAGAAGGACGAGATGGAAGAGGAAGATGAAGAAGTCGAAGAGGAGAAGGAGGAGGAGGACGGGGAATTGGACGATGATATATACAAACTGTATTGTGAAAATGAAATTTTTAGCAGTTGGGATATTTCCACTGATCCTGAATTCACGAAAAAATCGAATCCCTTAGGTTCATTTCAATCAAGATGTCCAACTTCATTCATCAAACCGAACTGTCGTAAATAATTAAAATAATTTTCATAATACTAATAGTAAATACTCAAAGCTTCCAAGTTCTACATCTTCATTTTATTTAAAAATATGTCCTGAGGATTATTTCAACAGTGATGCTCTAATCGAAAATTATACTATTGACAAAAACGATATGAATAAAGGATATTTGTAGGGTTGAGTGAAAAAAAATTAATTTTACATATCCCTAATATATGACAGTATTTTAATCCTGGTTAAATTTTAGCCCTTTTTTCAGTTTTCCTTTAATAATATTAATAATAATAATATAGCTATGGCTACATTTTCCTTATGTAGAATTCATAAATTGTTTTCATATCTATTCAACTTACCGGTCAACAGTGGTCATATTCTAAATTTTATGTACGGTGAAATTTGATTCCGTACAACACTCTACCTCGGTAGACCATCTTGGTTATTAATTCGGAGGCCATTTGTTCAATTCATTTTATCCTCAATCGTCATTCATTACGCGCCTATGGCAGTCTGGCAATCTCATAAATGAGATCCTTGTTTTTGAATGTTCGACCCCCACCCCCGCCCCATACACACACACACACACACACCTTTTTCTCAATGTATTGACCCTATTTCTCGAAAAACTTTTAACTTTTTAACTAACTACCAGGCGCTTTTTTTAAAAGTAGTGATTGTAATAAATATAGATTGAAAAAAAAAAGAAAAAAGAAATTTGTTTCCATTTCCTTTTCATTTTGCTTCCTTCCCTCTATAATATTTAATATCTCTTTTATACATTATGTGTAACTAATAATATTTACGAAGCATATAATTATTATTGTTTGTTTTTGTTAAAAAATGAAAAGGAAAAAAGAATTGGACTTCGTACAAATGTTGGTGTATTTTTATCAAACGTGTTTAAGTGTGTGGTATTATTTTGTTCGACTTTGTGGTTGTTTTTTTTGTAAGCTAATTAAGTTTCAAAAATGTGTTTAACTCTAAAAATATAATATACTCTTGTTTTTATTTTAAACCCAAACCCCACATTTCTGAGAAAGTGAAACAAAAATAGTTTATCACATTTTATTGTTCAAATCCTATAATATTTCTGAATAAATAAATAAATATATATCGCTTGTCTAAATCATCTTTCATTCGTTTCAATGTGAACTTGTCTGAAGTGATACTAAAAAGACACAATTCACAACTAACTGTAGGATACTGACTCCTAGATTCTTGTTTCAATCTATAAAAAGCCTTCAGTTTATTAACTGAAAGAAGGAAAAATCCGCCCGACTGATGATGTCAAGAGTAAAGTTTGATCACGCTGTGGGTTACTGATTTTTAGAAGATAAGTATATGAAGGTAACTAATACTGTAACAACAGAAGACAAGGGCCAGGCAACTGATCGTTTATTAAGGAAATCAACACATATTTATAGATTTTCATGTACATATTATAGATTATTGTTAGCAGAAAAACAAAGTCTTCTGATTGGCTGTTTCTTACAGAAGGATAAGCTTGAATCTCTTTGTGACTGTTTCCTGAATACCAGTTCATCTATATGTTAACTGTATTAAATGTTTTCGACATAGAACTTTGCACCGATGTGCATCATTTCAAGTCACCACACTCCATGTAGCATACAGAGCAAGAGAAAAGAAGTAGAAGAAATGCATCATAGAGACAGTAAATAGAGATGTGAGACAAAGGAATAGTGATAACGAAAAACAAAACAGTTTCAGTGGAAATCGTAAGTCTCTTTTCCAGCCTGAACGTATGTCAGTTAACTAACATTGCCCATTGTCGAGGAAGGCGATGACTAGCCATACGTAACACATGTCTTAACCATCTGAGTCGATGTAGCTTCACAGCCTCGTCGATTGATTTCCCCTCCTTATCTAGCACTCAGTGCCTAACCTTAGTATTGTTGTTTACCCTACTATGCCACCTCACACGGAAATGGGACGCAGGCACCTATGATCAAAGACAGCTAGCCAGGGTCTTCATGTCTTCCGCTCTCAATGACCAGGTCTCACAGCCAGCCATGTGGGAAGGCGGAGAGAACTGCTGGGCAGTACACCCGCCCTTTGGATATCACGTCTACTAAGCAAGAGACAGCGTAAACTGGCATGTACGAAACTAGCCCTCTGTATCCGTGCTGACATTTCATCAGCGATCAACCCGTTGGCGCTGGCTGATTCAACTTCCCAAATAAGTGAAGCAGTCAACGTGCTCTACCAATTCACTCCCTACTTGTAATCCAGGAGTCAGTGTAGGCCAGACTAGTCCTGTAGCATCATCTTACATTTGGCGGGAGCGAACCGCGTGCCAAGCATTTGCAGATTGCAGCTCAAGGTGCTCAGAAGACTCTGTATTTTGTCAGCGTCTTCATCCAGCACAGAGGACTATATCATCTGCATATTCTAAGTCGACTAGATTATTTCCTGGTAACAAGTCAATCAATCCGTGAGTCTCTGAAGTGAGTTAGGGTTAAGTCTATTAATACATCTATTATGAAATTGAATAGGAATGGGGATAATGGGCATCCCTGACTGACACCACTAGTTGTCGCCAGTTCAGATGACAACTCTCCGTAAGCCTTCACCTGGCTGACTGAATGAGTTCGAGTAGAGTGGCTTGTATTTTCTCGTCATTGCCTTCACAGTCAAACATCGCCAGAGTACCTCTCGGTCGACAGAATCGAATTTCGCTTTTAGGCGAAGAAATATGGCAAATGTTGGAGGCCGGAAATTATGCCACGAGTGTTTCAGAATCTGTCGAAGGGTGAAGATATGATCAATACACCCTCTTGGTGAGTGGAATACTAATTAAAAATGGTGTGAGATGGATGATTAGCCGTAATAGGAAGCTAGTGAAGTATAGTTTCAAAGATACGTTTCAGTTTAATTATGAAAATCAAAAACAGCTTACATTTCTTGATGCCACATAGTTATTCACTAATCAATCTTTCTCTGGTGGAAACCGTCGATTATGTCTGCAAAGAGATGATGGAGACAAAATTGTACACTGGTACTCCTCTTACTAATCTGAAAATATATAGTAATATATATAAATATAATATTTAATAATGAATTGTATAGACAGTTTGGTGGGAATAGCTATAGAATCTCTACTTGGTTTTATAATTGTGAATATTTTCTAAGCGAAACTAGAAAATGGTCTGTTGAAACATGAAATAGCGAAAATGGAAGTATACTGTCGTTACATGAACAACACTTTCGTAGTCTACCATAAATATCCATGTATTGATTTGATTTTCAGTAATTCTTGCAGTGCTCACCCAGCATTTCATTTCACTGACGTTAAACTACAGACCAAAGCTATATATATATATTCTTAGCCTTGTACTAATGAAATACATGCCTAATTTGACCAGGCGTTTAGCTTTTAGAATGAAGTTAACTTGCTTCAAAGAATGTGTATAGTAAGAACTCCAAGTCACCCGGAATATTTTAAGCGGAAGCAGAAATCCGGAGATTATTAAAGTCAACATAGCATATAGCAGTCACAGAAATGAACTGGCAACTGTGGAAAGCAACAGTTATTTTGTGTCTGCGATTTAGTGGAGATACTTCTTGGGAAAACCTATTCCACTTTCTAGCTAGAGCTATAAAGAGGACTTCCTATTCTGAACAAGTGTTCCTATCCTTCAGTAGCCGTTCATTACTAACCCAGAAACTGAAGATATCCTACCAAATCTTACCTGTTGCTCGTGCACATATCGTTTTAGCTGCTCCTGTGGTTCAATTTAAACAGTGCGCACGATTAGGTAGGTTCATCTAAGGACTCCAGAGTACTTGTTAGTATGGTACAAAAAGAATGAAATCAAGTGCAGAAAAATTTCAATTCTGTCACACTTTTTAAAGACAATATACCACGTTGATGCTAACGTAGCCTTCGTGGTTATATATCACATTCCGAAGTCATTATCACGAAAAGTTCTCCCATGCCTTCTACATATAGCTGAGATTTTGGTGATGAGCTTTTTATTGAAAATGGAAACTTTGTGACATCGTTCCTACAGTGGATTTAAAGTTCTGCTTATCACAGTGAATGATTCTATTATAATTAATCACCATCTCCAACCACTTCACATTTTATTATTTTCATCAAACGCATCTAGTTTATCACACGAATACTGATCAGTTAATAGTAGTGTAAAACACTGTGTGATTCATCAAAATAAAATCTTATCCACAATGGAGTTACTACTTATTGTGTTGCCATATAAGTAGTCCGTCGTTGTGCGTAAAATGTACGTGCTGTGTAACTGACGATTATTATAATGATTACTGTAAGTACCAGAGCAGACTTTACTGAAAAGAAGCCTCTTTGTTTAGGCCAACTTTTAATTTATGATATAGAAATATTTCATATTCTTAAATTAATCCAAAGAAACATGAAGTCGTCAGATTAATGCAGCTTATTACATCAATAAACATGAAAGGTTTATATTAGTAAACTTAGAAATTTTCATTGTATTACGTCTTAAAAAGTTTCCTGTTCTTTATACAAGTCCTGAGTTATATTTTCTTCTTTATTGACGCCGTAACTGCAGGTCAACACATGCAACATCAAAATGTCTAAGCATCATATTTCGACAATCTTATTAACAATGGTTTTTTCCTGTGAAATAACCATTTTTTGTTGGCATATGACCTACACAAACATCCTGATACTTCTGCAAGTTAAATTCCGATGCTGCATTACATTCATCATGATTCGAAGTGTTAGTTCTGCCCGACCTGAAGCTTGTTAGTTGTTCACAATAAGACCCGGACCTAAATAATTTCAAAGGAAATAGATAATTGGTTACAGGATTTCATCATGAGCTGAGATTGGTTAGAGAACCATTGGAAAACCTGGGAGTACTGGACAGCTGTTTCGTCCTAGTTCGGGACTCTTCGTCAGTACGCACCTACCACCAGTGTTCTAACCCAGGACCTTCTGGCTACAAGACTAGCTCGTAGATCAATAAACCACTGGGACCCGATCCAATGGCCCATGAATTCTAACTTCTGCCAACTCACGATATGGCGCAACCGCTAGCCAATGCATTCGGCAAGTATTTGTCCTCACACCCGACCCGCTGTACCCAACTGGTCACGACTCCCCACTAGAACCCAAGTAACTACCTAACTGAATAGGGCAAGTCGCCAGTGAGCATTTCATTGGTATTCAAGTGTTGGTTTGTAGGGATATGGTTGATTGGTTACAGATGCGTACTTCTGAAGAGTCCCGAACTAGTACGAAACAGCTGTCTAGTACCCCCAAGTTTTCCAATGGTTCTCTAACCAATGTCAGCTCATGATGAAATCCTGAAACCAATAAACCAAATCCCTACAAACCAATACTTGAAATAGATAATTATCTTTTAAGCTCTAAAGACCAGTCAGTTTGGTCAACTGAGGCGAATAACATAAAATTAATTGTGGAGTATTTTTCATATAATTTATAGTGTTTTCTATTCGTAAGTGTAGGTCAGACAGATTTTTATTAGTGATTTTTTTTGTCTAGGTGAAAAATTATTCTTTGTCCATAAAAGTATTTGGTGATAGGCTGTTTCATTTATACGCTCCTGTGAACTAGCTAATACTATTCGCTACCATAAAAACACTAACGGAAAACAGTACAAAGGTGTATACGTGACTACACTCATCTATATATACATGTCTGAAGTACACTTTTCATTTCGTAATAAAAATGTCGAAAATGTATGGAATTTTAGTGCACATCTTATCTTTTATTTGCATATCTTCTGATATATCATCATTAAATGCATCATTCTTGGTAAGAATGCTTGATTTATGTATTATTATCCTCCGTTATCTTTATTGATGATGTGTTATTTCGCATTGTTGAGATTTTATTCTTGCATGATTATATTCACATCTAACGGAACAATAAATTTTCTGGTGTCTTTCTGTTTTCATCTAAATGTCACTCTACTTTTTGTTATTTGGTTTTTTTTTTAATGTAAGATTGAAAGCCAGCCCATTGCATAGGCACTAGAACTGAATGTGATACAGTAATGTGAAAACTGTGAGAATGAAAACGAATTTATGAATGCCATTTAGCGTAAAAGACACTGATTTATGTTCAGATGGATTTATTTT